CTATGCAGATAAATTAGAAAATCTAGAAAAAACTGATAAATTCCTGGACACATACACCCTCCCAAGACTAAATCAGGAAGAAACTGAATCCCTGAGTACACCAACATCAAGTTCTAAAACTGTGGCAGTATTTAATAGCCTCAGTTACCAGTCAAGTAATTGAGTTATTTGGTAACTAAATCATATAGTTTACATGACTATTTTCCCTAGAATTGAGGATTTTTTTCATTTTTAACTGTTCTGTCAAAAAGGGGGTCAATTAGTGGATTGACTGAATCAGGTAACTGAGCTACTCAGTAGACAGATATAAGAAGAGTCACTATGGAGACCTGACTGAATAAGTTACCAACTAAAAAAACTCAGGACCAGATGGATTTACAGCCAAATTCTACCAAAGGTACAAAGAGCAGCTGGTACCAGTCCTTCTGAAACTATTACAAACAATAGAAAAACAGGGACTCCTCCCTAACTGATTTTATGAGGCCAGCACCATCTTAATATCAAAATCTGTCAGAGACACAACAAAGAAAGAAAACTTCAGGCCAACATCCCTGATGAGCATTTATGTGAAAATCCTCAATAAAATACTGGCAAACTGAATCCAGCAGCATATCAAAAAGCTTACCCTGATCAAGTCGGCTTCATCCCTATGATGCAAGGCTGGTACAACATACACAAATCAATAAACATAATTCATCATATAAACAGAACTAAAGACAAAAACAATATGATTATTTATAAAAGGTCTTCAATAAAATTTAACATCCTTTCATGTTAAAAACCCTCAATAAATTAGGTATTGATGAAACATATCTCAAAATAATAAGAGCCATTTATAAAAAATCCACAGCCAACATCATACTGAATCAGCAAAAGCTGGAAGCATTCCCCTTGAAAACTGGCACAAGACAAGGATGCCCTCTCTCACAACTCCTATTCAACATACTATTAGAAGTTCTGGCCAGGGCAATCAGGCAAGAGAAAGAAATAAACAGTATTCAAATAGGAAGAGAGGAAGTCAAATTGTCTCTGTGTGCAGATGACATGATTCTGTATTTAGAAAACTCGAGGCCGGGCGTGGTGGCTCAACCCTGTAATCCCAGCACTTTGGGAGGCCAAGGTGGGTGGATCACGAAGGTCAAGAGATTGAGACCATCCTGGTCAACATGGTGAAACCCTGCCTCTACTAAAAATACAAAACATTAGCTGGGCATGGTGGCGCGTGCCTGTAATCCCAGCTACTCAGGAGGCTGAGGCAGGAGAATTGCCTGAAGCCAGGAGGCGGAGGTTGAGGTGAGCCAAGATCGCGCCATTGCACTCCAGCCTGGGTAACAAGAGTGAAACTCTGTCTCAAAAAAAAAAAAACGAAAGAAAGAAAGAAAAGAAAACTCCATAATATCCAAAATCTCCTTAAACTGATAAGCAACTTCAGCAAAGTCTCAGGATACAAAATCAATGTGCAACAATCACAAGCATTATTATACACAAACAATAGAAAAGCTGAGATCCAAATCATGAGTCAACTCCCATTCATAATTGCTACAAAGAGAATAAAATACCTAGGAATACAGCTAACAAGGGACATTAAGGACCCCTTCAAGGAGAACTACAAACCAATGCCCAAGGAAATAAGAGAGGACACGAACAAATGAAATAGCATTCCATCTTCATGGATAAGAAGAATCAATATCATGAAAATGGCCATACTGCCCAAAGTAATTTATAGATTCAATGCTATTCCCACAGAGTTAGAAAAAAACTACTTTAAAGATCATATGGAACCAAAAAAGAGTCCATATAGCCAAGACAATCCTAAGCAAAAAGAACAAACCTGGAGGCATCACACCACCTGACTTCAAACTATACCACAAGCCTACAATAACCAAAACAGCATGGTACTGGCACCAAAACAGATATATAGACCAATGGAACAGAACAGAGAACTCAGAAATTAGACCATACATCTACAACCATGTGATCCTCAACAAACCCGAGAAAAATAAGCAATGGGGAAAGGATTCCCTATTAAATGGTGTTGGGAAAACTGGCTAGCCATATGCAGAAAACTGGAATTGGGCACCTTATGCCTTATACAAAAATTAACTCAAGATGAATTAAAACCCTAAATGTAAAACCCAAAACCATGAAAATCTTAAGGAAAAAAAACCTAGGCAACACAGTGAGGACATAGGCATGGCCAAAGATTTATTGACAAAAACACCGAAAGCAACTGCACCAAAAGCTAAAACTAACAAATTGCACCTAATTAAGCTAAAGAGCTTTAGCACAGCAAAAGAAACTATCATCAGAGTAAACAGGCAACCCACAGAATGGAAGAAAATTTCTGCAATCTACCGAGGTGACAAAGGTCTAATACATAAATTCTAATAAGGATTTACAAGGAACTTAAAAAAAAATTACAAGAAAAAAAAACAACCACACCAAAAAATGGGCAAAGGATATGAACAGACACTTCTCAAAAGATGACATTTGTGTGGCCAAGAAACATATGAAAAAAGCTCAACATCACTAATCATTAGAGAAATGCAAATCAAAACCATAATGCGATACCATTTCACACCAGTCAGAATGGCAATTATTAAAAAATCAAGGAATAATAGATGCTGGCAAGGCTACAGAGAAATAGGAATGCTTTTACACTGTTAGTGAGAATGTAAATTAGTTCAACCATTGTGGAAGACAGTGTGGCAATTCCTCAGGGATCTAGAACCAGAATTATCATTGGACCCAGCAATCCTATTACTGGGTATATACCCAAAGGAATATAAATCTTTCTACTATAAAAACACATGCACACATATGTTTATTGCAGCACTATTTACAATAGCAAAGACACAGAACCAACCCAAATGCCCATCAATGATAGACTGGATAAAGAAAATGTGGCACATATATACCATGAAATACTATGCCACCATAAAAAAGGATGAGTTCATGTTCTTTGCAGGGACATGGATGAAGCTGGAAATCATCATTCTCAGCAAAATGACACAAGAACAGAAAATCAAACACCACATGTTCTCACTCATAGTGAGTGTTGAACAATGAGAACACAATGGCAAAGGGAGGGGAACATCACATAACAGGGCCTGTCAGGGGAGTGGGGGTTATAGGAGAGATAGCATTAAGAGAAATATCTAATGTAGATGACGGGGTGATGGATGTAGCAAACCACCATGGCACATGTACACCTATGTAACAAACCTGCACCTTCTGCCAAACCCTGGGAACCACCAAGATGTCCTTCAGTAGAGGAACAGATAAGAAAAACTCTGGTACGTGCTGAGTTTGGAATATTATTTAGCGCTAAAAAGGAATGAGCTATTAAGCCACAAAAAGACATGAAAGAAACAAATTTATATTACTATGTGAACTACACAATATTTTGGAAAATGCAAAGCTGTAAGAGACAGTAAAAGAAGATTTGTGGTTCTCATGGATATGGAAAGAAGGAAAAATAGGCAGAGCACAAAGGATTTAGGGGGCAGTGAAACCACCTTACATGATACTATAATTATGGATATGTGTCATTATACATTTGTCAAAACATATTGGTATATTAATAAAATATACAACACAAAGAGTGAACCCTAATGTCAACTATCAACTTTGGATCAGAATAATATATCAATGTAGGTCCACTGATTGCCAAAAAAAAAAAAAAAAAAAAAGTGTCACTCTAGTGAGGGATATTGATAGTGTGGGAAATTTTAGGGAAGGGGATGGGGAGAATATAGGAACTTTCTACTTCCAACTTAATTTCGTGTAAACTAGAACTATTCAAAAACATAATCCATTTAAAACAAAAAAAATGTGTGGATTTCTTGTTAATCAATTTATAACCCACTCCATTAGACAAAATCTGTACCCACAAATCTCTTCCAGGTAAGTCCTAGAGCCTCCTGTAAGGGTCCTGAGGGACAATGCTCTTAGAATTCTCAAAGGACTTTTTCTTAATAAAGAGAATCTTTAAGGCATGTCATGTCCTTAAGATACTTAGAGGGACTACTGTCTGTGTGAGGCATGACATTAAATTTCCTGGGATATTAGAACTAAGATTTTTACAATCACTCCATTGGCTTCATGCTAAACCATGTTTTCATGACAGTACCCTAGATTTGCTCTCCTTCCATAAAACCTTTTTTTAATTTTAGAATTGTATGCCATCTGGAAAAACTGGAAAAGAGAAAGCTTTATTTTCAAGTCCAAAAAGTTCTGGCTCCTTTATATTTAACAACTATTTCTGTAGCTTACCTCTCTCCTATCATTTTACTATAAGCAGCAAGAAGAAGCCAGATAATACCACTTTCTACTTTTCACATTATCACAGGTGATAAGGTTGCCAAACTTCATGTCATTACCTAACAATAATCACAATGATCCTCTTCCCTCTACCTCCAATGACATTTCTTCACTCTCCTCTAAACCCTCTCTGACAGCCTCCTTGAGGTCCATCAGGCTTCCATAGTTACCTCAGAGTCCTCTCATCTTCTGCCCTCTGTCTAGTCCTGTCTAGACCTGTCTAGTCTAGCTTGAGCCACTGCCACATTTTAGATTTCTACTACATGGCACTCCACTTCCAGATAGCAAAATCTGTTTTTATGATCACTTAACAAATTCATCCAAAATTTAGTGGCCTAAAACAACGATATTTATGTTAGTCAGGTATTCGCAATTGGGGCAGGGTTCAGTGAAAATAATTCATTTTTTTGCTCCACTCAGCATCAGCTGGGGAAGCTTCAAGGCTGGGGACTAGAATAATCTGAAGGTTCATTCACGTATCTGGTGGTTGAGTCTGGCTATTAGTTGAAACCTTAGCTGAGGCTACAAGGTGGAACATCTTCACTAGCCCCTTCATGTGGCCTGAGATTCCTCACAATTTCCAACAAGTCACGGAAATCACAGCGTGTAATTCTTCAGCACTCAATTCATTGAGGCAAAACCCAGTTCAAATTCAAGGGAATAGAAATGGATTCTACCTCTTGATGCAGGGAGGTGGCAAGGTTCTAGAAGATCTCAAGGGCTTGAAATATTGCTGTGGTCACTCCAGAGAAATCCAATCTATAAAACAAATAAAGATGCAACAATCTTACAGTACAACTAGATAGAATCTAGCAACTTATCAAATGAATACTACCATATGACCAAGTAAAGTATACTCTAGGAATATAAATTACTTCAACACCAGGAACTACAGAAATGTAAATCATTAACTTCATCAGTGAATTGGTATACTGAAAAATATATCATAAATAAGATCATACACAAATGATAGATTTGGAAGAAAAGTATGAGGAACACACATGGCAAAGGATTAATATCTGTAACATATAAAGAATTCTTATCTCTTATAAAGAAAACAAAAGTAGAAAATTAGGCAATGAATATTAACAGGCAATTTATACTAAAGCAAATACAAAAAAAGAAACATGAAAAAAACAGAGATTAGGGAGAACAAGATGGTATAATAGAATCCTGCACCAATCATCCCCTCAACAGGAACACCAAAGTTAACACCTATTTACACACACACAAAAAAACTGGTACATTCATAAGAACCAAAAATCAGGTGAACACTCACCGTACCGGGGTTTTCATTTATTACTGAATGGCACCATAAATGGTCTAGACAGTCTTGAATTGCTGACACCACACCTCCTTCATTCCCTGACCCCATCCTCCGGCAGTGGCTATATGGCACGGAGAATCTGTACACTTGCGGAAGGAGGATGCAGCTATTGTGAGAAATTGTATTGAACTCAGTGCTGCCCTGTCAAAGCAGAAATCAGAACCAGTCTGTATTTAGCTGAAGCCCACCCACAGAGGAGCACTTGGACCAACCATAGCCAGAGGGGAATCACCCATCTCAGAGGTTGGAATTTGAGTTCAGGCAAGCCTCGCCACGACAGGCTGGAGTGCTCTGGGCCTCTAAATAAACTTGAAAGTCAGTCTAGGCACAATGACAGCAATTCCTAGGCAAGTCCTTCTGCTGAACTGGGCTCAGAGGCAATGGATTGGGATGGGTGGTACATGTGACCTACTGAGACACCAGCCAAGGCAGCTAAGGGAGCGCTTCCACTGCTCCCCCAAATCAAGACTGCACAACTCACAGCTACAGCATAGACTCCTTCCTTCTCCTCGAGGAGAGAAGAGGAAAGGGAAGAATAAAGAGGACTTTGTCTTACGTCTAGAATATTAGCTCAGTCACCTGCATCTCATGGTTTGAGTGCCAGCTCAGCAACAGTGCAACAGAACACCAGGTAGATTTCTAAGATTTTTTACTCTAGTATGTGACTCCTGGTTGACATCTTGGGACCCACCTGGGCCCTGGGGGAACTTGCTGCCCTGAAGGAAAAGACACGAATCCATCCCACTTTGCTGCCTACTGATTGTACACCCCTAGGGCCTTGGGCAAATATAGGCAGTAACCAAGTAGTGGTTACTACAGGCCTTGGGCAAGACCTTAGCGCTGTGCTGGCTTTAGGTCTGACCCAATGCAGTCCCGGTGGTGGTGGTCACAGGGGTGCTTGTGTCACCCCCATCCCTAGTCCCAAGTGGTTCATCACAGAGAGAGAGACCACTTTTGTTTGGGAGAAAATAAGGGAAGAGAACAAGAGTCTCTGCCTGGCAATCTAGAAAAATGTCCTGGATCTTATCTAAGACCCCCAAGGTAGTATCTATACAAGTTAACAAGAACCACAGCATTACTGGCCTTGAGGTGCCCCCTAATGGAGATAACACCTTACATCACAAAACCCAAGTACTTCTGAATACCTGGAAAGCCTTCCCAAGTAGGACAAGCAAAAATAAGCCCAGGCCGCAAGGACTACAGTAAATACCTAACTCTTCAATGCCTGGACACTGATGAACGTCTACAAGCATCAACACCACCGGTGGAAAACAGGACCTCACCAAATAAACTAAATAAGGTACCAGACACCAATCCTGGAGAAACGCAAATATGAGATTTTTCAGAGGGAAAATTCAAAATAGCTGTGCTGAAGACACTCAAAGAAATTCAAGATAACACAGAAAAGGAATTCAGAATTATATCAAATTTAACCAAAAAAAAATCAAATAATTTAAAAGACTCAAGCCAAAGTACTGGAAGTAAAAAAATGCAACTGACATATTGAAAAATGCATCAGAGTCTTTTAGAAACAAAATTGAGCAAGCAGAAGAAAGAATCTGTGAGCCTGAAGATAGGCTATTTAAAAACACACAGTCAGAGGAGACAAAAGAATAAAAAATAATAAAACATGCTTATAATATCTAGAAAACAGCTACAAAAGGGCAAATCTAAGAGTTGCTGGCCCTAAAGAGGAGGTAGAGAAAGAGAATGAGGTAGATGCTTTATTGAAAGGGATACTAACAGAGAACTTCTCAAGCCTAGGGGAAAATATCAATATCCAAGTGTGAGAAGGTTATAGAAGACCAAGCAGATTTAACACAAAGAATACTACCTCAAGGCAGTTAATAATCAAACTTTCAAAGTCCAAAGATTAAAAAAAAAAAAAAGTGGGGGGGGAGCCTAAAAGCAGCAAGAGAAAAGAAATAAGTAACATACAACAGAGCTTCAATACATTTGGGAGCAGACTTTTCAGTGGAAACGTTATTACCCAGTAGAGAGTGGTATGATATATTTAAAGCGCTGAAGGGGGGGGCGGGGAATCTTTTACCCTAGAATAGTATATCCACTGAAAATATCCTTCAGCATAAATGAGAAATAAAGATTTTCCCAGACAAACAAAAGCTGAAGGACGTCATCAAAACCAGACCTGTCCTACAAAATAGCAGGAAGAAGTCCTTACTTATCAATAGTAACACTGAATGTAAATGGACTAACATCTCCAATCAAAAAACAGAGTGGCTTGATGGATGAAAATGCAAGGTCCATGACCTGTTGCCTATAAGAAACACACTTTAGCTATAAAGACACACATAGACAGAAAAAGAAGAGATGGGGAAAATATTCCATGGCAATGGAAGGCCAAAAAGAACAGGAGTAGCTATATCTATATCAGACAAAGTAAATTTCAAGATAAAAACTGTAAGAAGAGATGAGGAAGGTTATTATATAATGATAAAGAGGCCAATTCAGCAAGAGGATATGGCAATTGCAAATATATATAACCCAACATTGGAGCATTCAGATATATAAAGCAAATATTATTAGAGCTAAAGAGAGAAATAGGCCCCAATATAAAAATGTGTGGAGACTTCAACACCCCACTATCAGCATAAGACAGATATTCCATACCAAAAATATATATATAAAAAAAATTCAACAAGAGAACATTGGACTTCATCTGCACCACAGAACAAATGAACCTCATGGATATTCACAGAACATTTCATCCAAAGGCTGCAGAATACACATTCTTTCCTCAGTACATAGATCATTCTCAAAAATAAACCATATGTTAAGTCACAAAACAAGTCTTAAAACATTCAAAAATCTGAAATAATATCAAGCATCTTCTCTGACCACAATAGAATAAAACTAGAAATCAACAAGAGGAATTTTGGAAACTATATAAATACATGCAAATTAAACAACACACTCCTGAATGACCAGTGGGTCAATGAAGAAATTAAGAAGGAATTTAAGAAATTTCTTGAAACAAATGATAATAGAAACACAACATACCAAAACCTATAGAATATCGCAAAAGCAGTACTAAGAGGGAAGTTTATAGTTACAAGTACCTACATCAGAATAGATGAAAAACTTCAAATAAACAACCTAAATGATGCATTTAAAGAGCTAGAAAAACAAAAACCAACCAAACCTGAAATTAGTAAAAGAAATAATAAATATCACAGCAGAAATAAGTGAAATTGAAATTTTAAAAAATAAATAAAAGATCAATGAACCAAATAATTGGGTTTTAGAAAAGTTAAACAAAATTGGTAAATCTTTAGCCAGACTAAAAAGAGAGAGAGAGAGAGAGAGACCCAAACAAATGAAATCACACCTGAAAAAGGAGATGTTGCAATTGATACCACAGAAATTCAAACAATCATTTGTGGTTATTATGAACAACTATACAAAAATAAGCTGGAAAATCTAGGGGAAAAAAAGTGGATAAATTCCTAGATACATACAATCTAACCAATACTGAACCATGAAGAAATCCAAAACATGAAGAGACTAATAATAAGTAATGAGACTGAAGCTGTAATAAAATTCTCCTAGTAAAGAAAAGCCCAGGATCTAATGGCTTCACTGATGAACTCCACCAAACATCTAAAGAGGAACTAGTATCAATCCTACTCAAACTATTCCAAAAAATAGGATAGAAAAGAGTACTGTCAAATTCATTCTATGAGGATTACCCCGTTCCAAAACCAGACAAAGACACAGAAAAAACAAGAAAACTACAAACCAGTATCACTGATTAACAGTGATGCAAAAATCCTCAAGAAATACTAGCAAACTGAATTCAAGAATACATTAAAAAGATAATTCATCATGACCAAGTGAGATTTATCACAGGGATAAAACAAGAACAGGGACCAAGAATGGTTCAACATACCCAAACCCAAATTAATCAATGTGCTACATCATATCAACAGAATGAAGGACAAAAGCCCTATGATCATTTCCATTGATGCTGAAAAAGCATTTGATAAAATTCAACATCCCTTCATGATAAAAAACCCACAAAAAACTGGGTATAGAAGAAAAATACCTCAATATACTAAAAGCCATATATGACAGACCCACAACTAGTATCACACTGAAAAAAAAAAAAAACTGAAAGCCTTTCCTCTAAGATCTGGAACATGACAAGGATGCCCACTTTCACCACTGTTACTCAGCATAGTACTGGGAGTCCTAGCTGGAGCAATCAGACAAAAGAAAGAAATAAAGGGCATCCAAATTGGAAAAAAAGAAGTCAAGTTATCCTTGTTGCAGATAATATGATCTTATATTTGGAAACACCTAAAAGCTCCACCAAAAAAAAAAAAAAATTAGAAATAATAAACAAACAAAGTTGCAGGATACAAACATACAAAAATCAGTAGCCTTTTTATTGTTTTCTGTCAACAGAAAA